CTCCACAGTTGTGTACCTGAGCCTCCCTTCTTCATGGCTGGGCTTAACTGCGTTGGGCAAGCTGTATGATCCAGAGCTTCACCAACACTAACAGTGTCTTCTGCTGTCCTGAGATTCAGCCTGAGGTGGGCTGAGCAGCACCTCATGCAGCATCTATGCGAACATGACTATCTGTATCTGACTAGAGAGAGGTCTAGTCAGATACAGATGGTATCTTCTTTCATCCCAGGCTTCTGCTTTTGTATGAGCTCAAAGGCCTTGGAAGTAGACCTTGGACACTATTARAAAATTAGGTAACCAAACCACTGCCCCCCYCACACACACCATTTGGGGCATGTGTTTCCAGGAAACTAGAGGTTAGTTGCACTGAAAGTACAAGTGCCCTCAGAGACCTTTGGGTACCAGGAAAGGGCTCATCCTTTTCTTTCCTATAAGCTCAATAAGCAGCCCATCTTGAATTTTCCAAACCACTTCTAGAGAACTGTCACCAGGACTGGTGTTATATGTGAAAAGGGAAGACTGGGATATGGCTGTGACCAGTGTAACTGGTAGCTGATGCTTCCCAGTAATCCAGCAKCTCCTGTTTCAGTTAGAGGGACTCTTTCCAGTAACTGCCTTTTCCAACTAGATTAAGGTGAGTTGAGACCATGATAAACATTCTCTCCAGCACAACAAATAGGAGTCTTTATGAGGAAGGAAATAAATCTTAGATGTACTGAAGTTTTTWATTTTTTTCACTGTCACTGTTAGCCCAGCTGTTTTTTGTTTGTTTGTTTGTTTTGATACCGGGGATTGAACTCAGGGGCACTTAGTCACCGAGCCACTTCCCCAGCCCTATTTTGTATTTTATTTAGAAACAGGGTCTCACTGAGTTGATTAGCTCCGTTGCTGAGGCTGGGTTTGAACTCGAGATTCTCCTGACTCAGCCTTCTGAGCTGCTGGGATTAGAGATGTGCACCACTCCACCTGGCCCTGCTCTATTTTTTGACTACTAATTTGCTGATATAAAGGTGGGCTAACCAAGACTATGTGAAACTGCCCAAGACTATGTGCATGCCAGGTGAGCGCGTTACCKCTTGAGCCACATCCCAGGGTGTTAGGTGGWTTTTTCTTTTATGTGTTTCTTTAAGGGCCAGGGGAGAAAGGAAGGAAAACTGGTGTATATGTACATAGTAAAAGAGAGATGAAGGTATCCTTCCTTAATTCATTCTGTAACAGATTTTAATTAAGTACCTCCTCTATTTGGGGCCTTGTTCTTATTGCTGTGGACATAACAGTGAACACGACAGGAGATGGGGGAGGAGAAAAACTTCCKTAGGGGAGAGAGAAGGGGAATAGCTATAAAATTGCAAAGTGACTTGATAAGGTGGGGGAAGAATTTAAGTCCTCAGATTTGGTTCCTCATTTGAACCAAAATCTGGATGACAAAAAGTTGCTTTTTTTGTAAAGATCTGGGAGAAAAGTATGCCAGGCAGAAGAACCAGCCAATGACCTTCAGCGATGAAGAAACTTGATGTGTGCACAGAAACTGGAAAGAAAGCCTGGGCCTTGGTCTTGAGGACAAGGAGGGAGCAGCGGTTCCAGACATACTGGAGGGAGGGCTGGGACCGCAGGTCGGGAGGCCTGTGCGCCCTGGGAAGGAGTTGGACTGGGTTCTGAGCACACTGGGAACCTTTGCCTCCAAAGAATTTTTTTTGTCAATAAGGACAGTAGATTGAGGGGAGCAAGAGCAGAAAGAAGGATGTCACTGAAGTGGCTCAAGCTACGAGATGCCAGTGACTTAGACCTAGTGGTGATGACAAGAAGTTAAGCCCTGTTGTGAACAGAAATTACACGTACTATATAGTGTTTTGATACAGTCTTTAATTTGAAAGGCTGTATCCTTATATTTGAAGTTAAATAAAGTTAGCAGTTTTTAAAAAACATTTTATTTAGTTGTGGTTGGACACAATACCTTTATTTTATTTATTTATTTATTTATTTATTTTTGTGGTGCTAAGGATTGAACCCAGGGCCCTGCACATGTGCTAGGCGAGCGCTCTGCTGCTGAGCCACAACCCCAGCCCAAATAAAGTTAGCATTTTTTTGAGAGAGAGATAATTTTTTAATATTTAGTTTTTAGTTTTCAGTGGACACAACATCTTTATTTTTATGTGGTTCTGAGGATCGAACCCAGCGCCCCGTGCATGCCAGGCGAGCACGTTACCGCTTGAGCCACATCCCCAGCCCCAAAAGTTAGCATTTTTAACTAGCATMTAATTCTGTGATTTCTTTTAATTACTGATGCTTTTGACAATTAAATACTGACTCTAACTCATCTAATTTCTTTTTGGTTTACTTCTGGGTAACTATTCCTCCTAAATCTATAATATGTATCAGGGTGTTCACAAAAGGTTGTTTATAAGAATACTTATTATTTATTGCAAAAGCATTACTGCAGAAAATACAACAATATTAAAAAGAAAAACCTGTGATCCCACCAGCCAGATAGACATTTTGTTTGTTTCCTTTCAGTCTTTTTTAATGCATCTATATATATATATATATATTTCCAACTGGTTATTTTTTTTTAAATTAATTTTGCAAGCAGTAGTTTTTATAAAAAGTCAATAGTTGGCTTAATTTACTTCTKCTGCTGCTGCTGTCATTAGTTGAAGCCATCTTCCCATTAGGCATTTCTTATGTAACTAATGGGCTTCGGTGGCATGGTCTGTGTCTTCAGTCATGTTTGTAGTCCTGTCCTTAAGATGCTCATCAAGGTAAAGTCATAGATTAGYGCAAGAGTTCTTTTTCCTTTTTTGTTTTGTTCTCAGAGCTGTAACTTAATAAACTTTGTCAGGATCCACAATTATAATCTTCAGGTAGTCTAAATCAAATATTAATTCATTARTTAACTCTCAGATTGCTTCTACAAGTTATAGTGATTTCATTAGCTTACAGCAACATCCTCTAAATATTGGGAAAAGCTTCTAGAACTTTTGGAACCTTTTAGACCTTAGCTAAAAAAATATATTCAGTGCGGCCAATATGGAAAGCAGTATGGAGATTCCTAGGAAAGCTGGGAATGGAACCACCATTTGATCCAGCTATCGCCCTTCTCGGTCTATTCCCTGAGGACCTTAAAAGAGCATACTATAGGGATACTGCCACATCAATGATCATAGCAGCACAATTCACAATAGCTAGACTTTGGAATCAACCTAGATGCCCTTCATTAGATGAATGGATTAAAAAACTGTGGCATTTATACACAATGGAGTATTACACAGCACTAAAAAACGACAAAATCATGGATTTTGCAGGGAAATGGATGGCATTAGAGCAGATTATGCTAAGTGAAGCTAGCC